CCCCCCCCCCCCCGCCAACAATCTCTGTTATCTGTAGCTCTCACTCATTCCTGAGATGTCTTCTTTTTGTTGAGGACTAGAAGACTGGTCCCATGGAGGAAACACTTCAAGCCCAAGTTAAGGAAAGTGATCAAAGGAACATGCAGTAACTGATACTATGAGCCGTTCTAAGTTTTGCTGTGCGTACTTTCATATTTATGGCTTTTTCTTTGAAACTAGCACGTATTACTACTTCCATTACTAATCTCTTGTTCTGTTGGAGCTGACTCTTTAGGGTCTGAGAAACAGAATGCATGCTGCTGGGGTAAAAGAAAGGAGCAAAAAGTATACAACGTTTTTTGTGTGACACTGAATTCCCCCTCTTCAAAAATTGAAGTACGGTAACCCTGTTGAAATAGGGAGAGAACTCTTGTATTTGGTCAGTGATCAAATTGAAATGGTGCTTGTTCTTCATGTAACCCAAAACCTGGACTGCAGCCTCTAATTCTTCATCTCCTGCCTCTTTAAGAGGTTTTAAAATCAATCATGTTATATAAATTTAAAGCAAATGTAGATCAAGAAACTATAGGATTAGTCATGCTAGCATGGCTTTTCGGTCTACCAACAGCAGTAAATTCCAACCCATAGCAGCTCTCATGATTCTTAGGTCCACTCCAGCTCTAGACAGGTATCCACATTCATTTAATAAGCTAATACTGTGCTGAGAAACAAAAGCTGAAACCAGTTCCTCTGAATTCATTTCAGGCTTCATGTGGCAGTGGAATTTCAATGTCTTAAGGGTAGAGTAAGTGCTTCAAAATAATCTCCTCCTTTATAAAATCTACTACCATGACACAGATAGTCCTTGCTTAGCAACCCTAACCGGGACCAGAATTTCCATCGCTAAGCGAAGTGGTCGTTAAACGAAACTTCATGTGATTGCACCACTTAGCAACAGCAGTTTTGGTTGCAGTCATTAGGCCAGGACCTCATGCTTCTCCTCCCCTGCCACACTCACCTCTGTTTCAACTCCCCCATCTCTGTCCTTTTGGCCACCCTGCACTCCGCCACTGCCTATCCCTGCTGCCCCCAGCTGACCTTCGCTGTTGTCTTCCACCTGCTGCTGATGAGATACGCCCAGCTGAGGCAGCTGCTGGCCCTTCATGAGGACTTTCCAAGCCTCGCATGGCCTTGGCCAAGTGTGCTTCATCAGCAGTGGGAGGAAGAAGAGAGCAAAGGTTAGCAGGGGGTGGTGGAGTGCAAGGCAGCCAAAAGGGCAGAGATGGGGGGGATAGGTGGGTGAGGGGAGATGAAGTGCATGCTGTGATTGTAAATATGGGTGGGCTGCCAAGCGCCTGAATTTTGATCACGTGACTGCAAGGGTGCTGCAACAGCGGTAACTTTGAGGGCCGGCAGTAACTACCATTCATTCAGTGCCGTCACAACTTTGAACGGTCACTAAACGAATGGCCATGAACTACCTGTACTGGACTGTTTTGATAATAGTACTAATAAAACATGTCCATTGTATAAGAAGGAGGTTAATGCATTTAAAATATTCTAAATTATAGAGAATGGTTGTTTTAAAACTAGAACAAATGGGTACTCTCACTCCGGTGGGAGGAAAAATGCTGGCGGCGCTTGCACAGGAGTCGGGAGCAGCTGCCGGTAAGTGCGAAACCATGCTCGCCCGAAAAGGGCGCGAAGCAACAGAAACCCCGCCTCCTGCGCTCGCCAGCTGGGCCCTGCTCCAGGAAGGAGGCTCTGGCAAACCACTACCGAAACAATTGCCTTGAAAACTGCAAGGACTCGTCCAAGCAGTCACTGCAGGGTCAGTAATGACAGCGCAGACAAAAAAAAAAAAAATGCATGGAAGGCCAGTTTCACATATTACATTCCAGGCATATCTCAGTGAGGCCTAACTCTGCTATATATCGGGCTGGAACAAAATGCAAATGGTTAATTATGAAAAAGGAGAAAGGGAAGCATTAAAACAAAATGCCTGGTCTACAAGCATATGTAAGTAAGCTTTAGCTTTAGTAATATTAAAGCATTTGCATGGAATAGTGCAAAAGCACAGTTTCACACAACCGCATGAGTCTTCGGCGGCTTTTGTGCTATTCATCCCTCCTCTCCACCCACAACTTGAACTGCAAGGAAGAGATCCAAAGGGTTTGCTGCTGTTTTGAATGAACACTGCTATTTTATTATATATCGCCCAGCTTCCACTCCATGGAATTCTTCAGGGGTATCTTTCCCAGAGGGAACTGCTAAGAAAAACAGGGAACCTCTATTCTCCCCTCCCTTCCCTGACTAAAGCTCTTTCTTACAGCGTGGGTGGGAGTATTAGTACTTTGTGCACCTGGGGTGCATGAATGCTGATGCCACTGTTGGTATTTAAAATGCTGCAAGATCCTTGGTGCTCTTTCATTTTGTGAAAGATCCTTACAGACCTGCAGTCTTTTCTCCAGACAATACTGTTGCCCACCTCCAAAAGGAGCCTTAGAAATGCAAAGCATGCTAATTTACATTTCAAGAACTAGTTCATTAAATTTAATCCACTGTTGACCCATAGACTTAAGTCTTTTTTTTTAAAAGAAACCTTCCTATCCATCACTGCTTTAATTCATAAATGGTTGCCCAGTCATTTTGTTACTCCTTCAGACTTGCCTGATAGCTGCACTTGCATAGTGTCTTCTTTAAATTACCCTCCCCGCAAGTTGCCTGCTATATGCGGTGGTGTGCTGGGCCCTTTTGCCCACTTATGCAAGAGGGGCTGACGCCACCTATTTTAATTGCAGGATCCAACTGCTCTGGGAAAACAGGAAATCTCCTTCAGTCTTTGTAACTGATGCAGCGAAATCTGATAGCCAGGCTTGGCAGTGCACAGCCCAAGGACTTGCCCTAAATGGGTAATTTAATCCACCACAGAGAGAAATAACATCAGTCTTTCAGTATCACAAATATAAATCCTCGAGAGCAATACACCCGGCTGAATTAAGGCAGAGACCTTTTCTGGAATAGGTGTTTTTTTCATTCTTTCACTCACAAGGAAACGAAATTGTGGTGTCTCAGAATGTGAATGAGACTGGCTTAAGTGATCCTTAGGTGTATCAGCATTAAAGTAGTATATCCCTCTTATTCCGAAACTGTCCACGGATAGCCTCAAGCTATGTAACATCTGTTGGGTTTGGTTACCCATTACTTCAGTAGCAAGTCATTACTACTGCAGTGACTTGAAATTGAACCAATGGGGAAGGAAGTTTCATGCCTGATCAAGGATGGGGGGATATCACTATAGCTCGGGCCCTAACAAGAACAAATAAGCAAAATTGGTTCCTTATTTTTGACGATCTAAAATTCAGCTTTTCAATTCAAACTTAGATGATCATTCAAGGATCCTTATTATGTTCATTGTTTTCTTTACACACATTCCTGCTTATCTTCAACTTAAGTAATAAATGTCTGGGTGCAAAATAGGCAACAGTCAAGTAGACATAGCAACTGAAAGTACCACTGCTGGTGCCCCAAGTGATACAAGTCACATTCCTTCCTTGAGCTAATGAAAGCAAAAGACTTTAGAATTATAATACAGGTAGTCCTCGCTTAATTATCACAGTTGGGACCAGCAACTTGATCGCTAAGCAAGTGACTGTGATGGAATTACAACCTCACTTCCTCCACAGTCCTTAAGCAAGACATCATGTGACTGCAACTAGTGATTTTACTGCTGGCTTCTCCACTGACTCTGCTTGGCGGAAGCCAGCTGTGAAGTGCACAGATGGTGATCATGTGACCACGGGGTGCTGCAATGGTTGTAAATGCCCGCTGGTTGCGAAGTGCCCAAATCTTGATCATGTGACCACAGGGACACTGCAACAATCATAAGTGTGAGGACTAGTCGTAAAGTTACTTTTTCAGCGCTGTCATAATTTCAAACAGTCAGTAAACAGGGTAGTCGTTAAGCGAGGTCTACCTATACAGCATTCAATATCTCAGTTTCTTTCTCTTTCAGGCCCAGCTATTCCTGTTGGAGTGGATGTGCAGGTTGAAAGTTTGGACAGTATTTCAGAAGTCAATATGGTATGCTACTTTTATTTAAGCTTAGGTTTCTTACCTAAAGCAAGATGCAACTTTGATTTTTTTCCCAGATTAAAGAAATGTATATACTTCTGATGTTTAAATATTTACTGCATAAACTGATTTTTAATTTTTTTTATGGTGTACCAACCAAAATAAAATTCATATGAGGTTGTCAGTTGGATGATTATTACAGGTTTTCTTAAAAATTAAGCCTAACTGGGGTTGAATAAAGTCTAATTGTGAAGAAGTAACGCTGAGAGATTGAGACCAAGAGAATGATGCAGAATGCAGAACTAGCTCTCAGGAAATCTGATAAGATAGCGAATGTACTGCTTGGCCCATTTCTTGGCTTCAAATGTTTACTTGTTTATTTTTAAAAGGAAACCAAACCCTTGACGTGCTGCTCCCAGGAACTAGTCACCATTTGTGCAAGAAAGGGACAGGCAATAACAGTTGGACTTACAGATCATACTAATGGTTTAATGCGTTCCAGCCAACTGTAGTTTATTTAGTAAACCATCATTAAAACAACCATGGCTTTGTGCAATGGGTGAACTAAGGTAATATTATTATTTGGATACCATCTGGGGTGCAACAGGTGGCCATTGGGAGACAGCTTTCTTCATTATGATGGGAAGATTCAATTTCTTCTGATTTTTTCTGATAATTTAAAAAAACCACAATTGTCAATTAGTTTATTATATTAGTTTTTTTTAAAGTTCAGGGGATATAATTACAAGAAATCTCCCACCACCCCCACACTTTGTTTCAGGACTTTACAATGACGCTGTATTTGAGACATTATTGGAAAGACGAGCGTCTGTCCTTTCCCAGTCATGCAAACAAGAGCATGACTTTTGATGGACGGTTGGTGAAGAAGATCTGGGTGCCAGACATTTTCTTTGTCCACTCTAAAAGATCCTTCATTCATGATACCACCACTGACAACATCATGTTGCGGGTGTTCCCAGATGGCCATGTGCTCTATAGCATGAGGTAAACCCACATTTATTTCCCTATGAACTGCCCCATGCTCTTCCTCCAATACTGTAGTAATTCATGCAGATCTTTGTTGCATGGACAGAATTCAAATATGGGTACAGGGATTCATATGTTACTGTATTTATCCCAGGCCTGTAGTTCCTTCTTTGTAATAACATCAACTCTTATTTTTCAAATTTCTAGGATCACGGTGACGGCAATGTGCAACATGGACTTCAGCCGCTTTCCACTAGATTCACAGACATGTTCCCTGGAGCTTGAAAGTTGTCAGTGGCTTTTGTTTATCTATCTTTGGTTGTAAAACTACAGCGGTAACAAATTAAATAGCAGTTACCTTGCTGGCTTTATTGACCTCTATTGCTGCACCTGAGCTGGTTGTTTCTCTGCTTTAAGGCAGGGCCAACCTGTAGTATCAGTTCTTGTACTCAGATGCCATTAAAAGGCAGAGGACTATTTCCTCTGCCTTTTCACTTTCAGTGAGAGTTGAGAAAGATGTTTGTGGCTGGGTGACAACTGTGGATGGGGTTCTGATTTTCTGGACTACTTTCTCTTTGAAAGCAGAAAGTTGATTTGTTTTTCTTAACTGCATGAAACCCATCTGAAGCTTATAGTCTTGGGGTTTTTTTTATTTCCAACCTCTAAATTTAGGAAATCGAAATACAGTGGAGCAGTCAGATGGTTTTTTTGGGAGCCACAAAACATGGGGTTTTCCCCCGCTTAGGCCTTTGATTAATTTGCCTATTTCATAATTTTGCTGCCCACCAATAAAATAATTATTTTGCTGTTTCCATACCTACCCTTGCAGATGCATATACAGATGAAGATTTGATGTTATACTGGAAAAATGGGAGTGAATCTCTAAAAACAGATGAAAAGATTTCCTTGTCTCAATTTTTGATTCAAAAATTTCATACAACCTCCAGACTTGCTTTCTATAGTAGTACTGGTATGGCAGGAGTGTTTCACACCATTCCTTCATTTTTCATTATTAATTTCTTCCATTTTCCTACTGTATTTCCTCTGAAAAGCTCAGGCAGCCCCTTGGTCTTCCCTTACTCATGTAATTCTCCCAGCAATCCTGTGCAGCATTAGGCTGAGAGAGACTGAGTTGTCCAAAGTCTCTAAGTGAGCTTCATTGCTAAGTACATATTTAAATCCTTGGGGCCAGTACAGAATTCTGACCGCAGCATCACCATGGCTGTGTGTTCGCTATCCATACAGCTGCTTGGTGAATGTAAAGAAAGTACCCCACATAACACCAAAGGCCAAGAATTGATACTGACAGTCATACATTAAGTGTTCCTTTGCTGCCTCATCTAATATAGCTGTAATAGACCCCTCTAACATTCTTTCATGTTATTCGTAAAACAACAGGTGCATATTGTTAAAGCAGCATATAGGATTTTTAAAAAATCAAATGCACTTTCTGTATAATTCAGGCTTCAGAACAGAAGGGCAAAAAGAAAAAGACTTCTTTGAGAAGACATCTCTCCAGACGCTGCAGAACTATAGCTACCAGCATCCTTCACCACTGACCATGCTTGCTGGGGCAGCTAGGCTGTGTAGTTCAGCAATTTTCTATTTCTTTTTATATGAAAGATACATGGTTTATAGCAATAGTATTAGGTTACTGCATATCCACTGGCAAGTCTTCAGCCTCAGTTTACAGTTGTAAACTGAGAATAATTGTTACAAGGGCAAATACAGTACTTAAATTCCATTGCACTTTGAAACTGTACTTTCTCTCTCTCTCTCTCACACACACACACACAATATCTATCAGCATTCCTATTTTCCTCCTTTTCTTTTTGATACAGTACTTAAATTCCATTGCACTTTGAAACTGTACTTTCTCTCTCTCTCTCTCACACACACACACACAATATCTATCAGCATTCCTATTTTCCTCCTTTTCTTTTTGTCTTTCTTTCAGTACTATCCTTTTTTCTCTCTCCCACCTCCTTTATATTTTATCTATGTAGTATATAATGTGTCTTTTCTAATGACTGTTCATATTTCTGCTCACTTCACACTTTAACATTTTTCCTCAATAGGTCGGTACAATCGCCTTTACATTAACTTTATTCTACGTCGCCATATTTTCTTCTTTCTGCTCCAAACGTATTTTCCTGCCACACTGATGGTCATGTTATCCTGGGTTTCCTTCTGGATAGACCGTAGAGCTGTGCCTGCAAGAGTTTCATTAGGTGAGGGTTTTCATACAGCCCTGCTGTATCTTACAGTATACAACATATCTCATTAAAAAAATACAAGCATTCATTTTGATTTTCAAGTCTAAGGTTTCTGTTCAAAAAATAGAAATAGGCAAGGTGTACAAAAGATATATATTCTATACTTTGTCCTCACAGAAATAGAAATATTTATCTTAGAAATTAATCCTTTATAGATTAGTGTTTGCTGTAAAGTATTTTATTTATTTTATTCAGTTAGATTTAATTAGATGTGATGGAAGGTGTGAGCGGGGAGGATTTTGGAATGGAGCTTCAAAGTTACAGGGAGGGGGGAGAGACATTCCAAGGGAAGCACCTCCTCAGCCCCCAGATGGACTGTGCAAAAGTCAAGAGATAGAGACTGGCCCCTCCCTAAGGGCTTGATGGTTATAGTTGCTCTCGATGGAGAATTAGAGTTAGTCTGGCGAGATTCTGTCTATTAGGTGC